TTTTGTGTTTGGAATATTAATAAAAAGAAAAATGTATGTCTATACAATAAAAAAAAAGACGCTGAACTGTAAGATTAAGGTAACATGTTAAAAAATTATTGTACGAGCTTCATATATGTTATAATATAATAAAATAAAATTTCCAGTTGCTGAATAAGTCCCAATAAAGGGACGAAACATTCAACTTAGTTAAATTAAGTTCTACTTCTTTTTATGTCCAAGTTCCCTGTGATTCCGTATTAAGAATTATAATTTTAGACGAGAGAAATAACTAATTAAATTATTTTTGTTTTCCTTCAATTCAAACAAAGCCCATTTTAATTCTCCTTCACCCTTTCCTCCACCTCATTCTTTTAGACAGTTTTCAAATCAATTAATAAATCATTAATTTATTCGTACCTTCTTTTCATTAATTCTGCTTTCATTTCGAATTTCATACCTTTCGTAATTATTATATTAATGCAATTACCATAAGTGATTGTTTTCTTATTCAATTAGTTTGCTTCGTGCGGTAACTTGATGCGCAGCGATAGTTGTTTACGTTTAGTTCCTTCGACGCGGGTTCCTACGCTCTTTTTGTATAATCTTATGAAGTGTAAAATGTTGTAATAAATTATATAAAATATATGGGGTGGTTTCGATCGTGCAGATCAATTATGCGGAACGTACTGTTTCTTACGAAAATCCTTGAAATGGTGGCGTAAACTGTTTTTTTTTGGGGACTTCAAATTTGTGCAGTAAATTCATATTTGCTTTATAAAATGACTAAACAGCAGAGAGGAGAACAGCCGGTTTGTCACTTGAGGTATGCGAAAACCTTAGTTCAGCAATTGACTGGAGATTTTCATCAAGCACGTGCTCGAGCTTTAACCTCAACGTCCAGTTTTGTAAACGACCGCTTAAATGGAAAGCTGCACAATATTCTAACAGGAGTTAGGAAGGATTGCAAAGTCTGCTCTCAACAGAGTACACCTGGCAAAAGACATCAAACAACGTACTATTGTGATACTTGTCCCGATAAGCTGGGCATGCATCTTGCCAATTGTTACATAAAATATCACACAAAACTAAATTACAAAGAATAATGTTAAACAAATTATCCTTGTAAACATGTAAAGATACATTAAATCGATCGAGTGAGAACAATTTTCGTTGATAAATAAAATTAATTGTAAATGAAATATCAAATAAAATGGATAACAATGAGAAAGAATATGAAATGATGATATTTGTTAATAATAATAATAATAAGAAAAAATGTGCCAATCATACGAGACTTATTATTTATTTTCTTTCATTTAAAGATCGATGCTCCGAATGTTCCTGTTTCTCTTTTTCTTCCCCTCTCACTCTCTCTCTCTCTCTCTTTGGTTCTTCCGTCAGTTCGACGTGGTTTGAATTCTAATCGTTATAGGTGGGCAAACATTACGAACCATCCGTCGTCCTGCCTTCAATCTGGCGAGACAGCTAGTGCAATAAGTGTCACTCGAATGTAACGTGTCCCCACTTTCAAATGAATCGATTCAAAGGATTCTACTTCCTACCTAAACCTCCTTTTTTTCCCCAATACCAACATTAAACTTTGTTTCATACACACATACACATACACTTATAGTTAAATGCATAATAAATACATAAATAAATAATTACACATAGATTCTATACGTGTATACTTATAAATTTTTCACGTTGAAATAAAATAATTGAACTATTTTTGTTTCGATGAAAAATCAAACGTGAAACGGGGGTCGTCGTTAAAAATAAATTGAAATTAAATAAATAAAAAAAAAATAGAAAAGAAATCCCTCTTCGTTTTGACCAATTGATCGATCGTTCCTTCGTTCACTTGCTTGCTTGCTTCTTCTTCTTCATCTTCTTTGAAAGTTTTTTCAAACCCTAAGAACTCACTCGCATTCACATAACTTTTCCGACTCCGACTTGAACAACTTGAGATTTCCCTTTTAATCCGTGCTAGACGACAACAAAGAAGAAGAAGAAGAAGAAGAAAAAAAAAAGAAACTTTTGAAGAAGCTTTTTCCCGTTAATTTTCAGAGCATCGTTCTCGAGATGAATCGACTGGGGATGATGGTGGATCTATCGCACGTTTCTGTACCCACCATGTTGGACGCCATGACAAGTTCAAGAGCACCAGTCATTTTTAGTCATAGCAGTGCTCATGCTTTATGCAATTCTTCGCGAAATGTGCCTGATCATGCATTAAGACATTTGGTAAGTTTCTTTTAAATATTTTAATCATCCTTCTTTGGGATTAGAAATTTATCAATCTGTTTTTTTTTTAATTTAATTTAAGGGGTTACATGGGTTTACACCGGGAAAAAATACCATATTTTCAACAATTTTTTTTGTCTATATAAAAAATGAAATTCTTATTCAAACTTTTTATAACATTTAAGATACATATTTAAAGAACATTTTCTGAAATTTGGGTTGAAAAATATTTTAAACTCAGCAATTGCGACGTCATTTCCGGTGACCCCACCGAAAAAAGTGTTTTCGCGTTGACAGCAGAACTCATAAACGGTGGGGGTTTTTCTGTTGAAAAATTAGGGTCTTTTAGTGAATACTTAAAACTAGAAACTGGACGAAGGAAAAAGAAAAAAATTGAAATTTGGATTTTTGGCAACGTTTTTAGCAAGAACATTCAAA